TATTAATTTTTGGAATACATGAACAATGCAGATATCTTCCGATATCAGTTGAACGGAGGATTGGCTAGACAACTACTTCATTTTTATATTGCTCCCTTGATCTTTGTTTTTTGAAGCAAGGATGGTTAATTTTGGATCATAAAATGTTAACTAGGTGCCTGATTTTGCTCCACAGAAATATTCAAATTCAGAATGCAGATATCCATAAAAGATTCCCTTTCTTAAGGACCCCATTTTTGTATCTGGAATCTTAAGTTTGAGCATATTGACTATGACCAATATCAATGAGCCCTGGTTGTTTAAAAAGGCCAAGCCTCGCGAGTCAGCCTGTCAACCTGACTAAGAGTGTTACTCCCTCCATCACCACACATTCTTCCCTACATCTCCTCAATTCTCTTTTGCCCCTATAAAATATTTAATTCGTGGTGGTTAAAATGTATTTATTTTCATCAACATCCACCCACTGTATCAATGCACCCCACACCCAAGCATTCCCACAGAAATCAGATTTCTCTTGTTTCTTCTCCCCTCTAATTGTGCTATTGTGGTGGTTGAAGTGGTCCAGTGAGTGATGGTGTCAAACAGCAGGTTCTCAGGTGTGAATACAGATCCACCCTTAAATGGACATGGGGTATCGTAGAACACTTAAACAGATCTCAAAATCCATCGACGGATATCGACATCCGTTGAAGGGTAAACGGATGTCAATATCTGTGAACGAATTTCGAGATCCGTTTAAGTGTTTTACGGATACCCCATATTTGTTGTCGCCTTTCGCGTTTCTTTTCTTGTTCATTTAAGACAAAACAAAGGCATATAGCAACACCTAGCACAACACCCAGTACACAAAAAACACATGTTCACAGAGAACCTTGACAAAAATGGGAAATTGAAGAAAGAAGAAGAGGAGAATAAGAGAGAAAGAGAGAAAGTAAGAGTGTGGGGGTGGTGTGCGGTTGAGTGAATAAGAGAGTAAAAAATTAGGGTTTTAAGAAAAAATTGAAAAAGGTAAAGGGTGTGGTGGAGAGAGTAACTCTCCTAGACTAAAAGATACATGTCAACCCGCCAACTCGACCAAAACAACTGAGTAAGGACAACATTTTCAATTCGAAACCCAAACTAATCCGGTCCGTCAAACTGGATAGCCTGACAAGCCAACCCATAAGTCAAATCAGATCAGTCCGACAATCGAGTAATTCAATTTTATTAAAAAAAGGTTTAATGTCTCAATAGGTCCCTATTTTTGTTCAGAATTTGAAATAGGTCCCTTTATTTTTTGGCGTCTCAATTGGGTCCTTATTTTTGTTAATTTGATGCAAATAAATCCTTTCCGTCAAGGGTGTTGCTCCCTCCACCACCACACCTTTCTCCTTCCACCTCCCCAATTTATTTTAATTCCAATTATATTCTAAGATTAAAATTTTTTACTTTTACTATTTTAATTTATTTCAAACCTAGTTCTCCTACTTTATTCCTGCACCCAATCTTTCCATCTCTCATTTTTGTTTAATAATTTGTCTTTCGTTTTACTCTGCAACCCAATCTGTCTTCTCCGTTTCTTTCTTCTTCATTTTCCTTACATTATTAAAATACATTAAAAATATATTCAAAAATAATAAATCAAAACATTTAAATTAAATTATTAAAATATTTCCAAAATAAAGAATAAACTAATAAAAGAAACCCTAAAATAAAAAACGTATCTTTTAAATGGAGGCGACATCCTTCAACGGATGTCAACATCCGTTTAAGGAAAAACGGATGTCAACATCCGTTTAAGGAAAAACGGATGTCGACATCCGTTTTACCTTAAACGGATGTTGACATCCGTTGAAGCATTTTGACATCTGTTGAAGGATTTTGACATCCGTTGAAGGATTTTGACATCCGTTGAAGGATGTCTTAAAGGTTAGGTTTTTTATATTAGGGTTTTATTTGAAGGTTTATTTGAATACGCACCTTGAGCAAGCAACACACTGCACCACTCCACACACTGTACTACGAGAACGACACTACACCACGAGATGGGGACTGCTTGATAATTCTTTCCACCACCACCAACCATTGCAACTTGTAAAAGAAAGAGAGGAAGAAATATAATGTTAAAATGAAAGAAAAATATTTTACTCATAGTGGAATAGGTTGTGAATGGGTAAAATTAAAAATAACCCTAAAAATAAAATTTTACTTAGGGACAAAATAGTAAATGGGAGGTGGAGGGAGAAAGGTGTGGTAGTGGAGGGAGCAACACCCTTCCGTCAATTTCATCAAACGGCGTTAATGAATGTGTGACGTGGCCTGAGGACAGTATTGACACGTGTAAGGCCACGTCACACATTCATTAACGCCGTTTGATGAAATTGACGGAAAGGATTTATTTGCATCAAATTAACAAAAAAAAGACCCAATTGAGACGCCAAAAAATAAAGGGACCTATTTCAAATTCTGAACAAAAATAGGGACCTATTGAGACATTAAACCTTAAAAAAATTTGAAACCTAAATCACGATCCTTTATATTAACATAGACTTCATTTTAACATAGTCTAACTATATTATCATAGTCCGACATTTCGGAAACCCTGTAACTCAACAATCCTTTTCAATCCGTTTTAACTCGTTTTCATATAAATTTCCATGTATATTACATCAGAAAAAAAAATCAAAATTGGCATAATAGCCCAATAGTTCGGTGGACCGGATTGTAAATTTTAACCCATTTTTAATTCAAAGATTAGTCGAGCCCAGTCCATTCTTTTGGTCGGATTGGTGGGTCGAGCTTAAATAGACTAGGTTAACATGTTTTGGGTGTTACTCCCTCCACCACCACAACTTGCTTCCTCCACCACCCCATTCCCCTTTTACCCTTTTCTTTATTTTTTAATTCCTATTTTACCTTTATTAAAATTTTAGGGTTAATATTATTTAAAATTTCACGTACATTCATTCTCTTTATCATTCTTTCCTTTTTCTCTTTATTATTTTTCCCAGGTTGTCTCTTACGTTCCACTATCTTTGGGTTGTCTCTCATGTTCCACTTCTTCTTCTCTTTTATATAATTGTGACGTGAGAGTATGGTGGACTTTGTGTTTAGTAAGATTGAAAGTGGAGAAAACAATTCATCTTCAGCCGTGACTGTGGTGGTGCTTCAAGGTAATGGTTCAAAGGCGTGAGAGGGCGTGAAGGTGCGTAATAAAACCCTAAAATATAAACAGTATAATCTTTAAACGAATGTGAGCATCCGTAAACGGATGTTGACATCCGTTTAAGGGAAAACGGATGTTAAACGGATGTCGACATCCGTTTTCCCTTAAACGGATGTCGACATCCGTTTTTGCTTAAACGGATGTTGACATCCGTTTTCCCTTAAACGGATGCTCACATCCGTTTAAAGATTACGGTTTATATTTTACAGTTTTTTATATTAATTTTGGAGATATTTAAATAATATAATTTATATTTTTTTATATATTATTTTTGAATATATTTTGATGTATTTTAATAATGTATTTTTGAGGATCTTTATTCTTATTAGTATATATTTAGATTTTTTTTTATTTTGCACGTTAGGGTTTTTGTATAATATATATTTTTATATATGACTTTTTGTATTCTTTAATAATTTTATAATTATATAAAAAGTTATTTATTAGTTTAATTATAAAAGTAAATAATTAGGATTAAAAAGGAAAAAGGTTATTTTTGTAATTATAAAAGGTTAGTTTTGTAATTCAAAAAATATGTAATAGAATTGGGGAGGTGGAGGGAGAAAATGTGGTGGTGGAGGGAGTAACACCCACATGTTTTTGTCATCCCTAACAATAACCATATGCTCATAAAACTAGTTATCCTTTGACGGAATGAGTTACCAATTTTTAAGGGGACAAAAACTAGTGGGGAGCATAAGAAACTAACACTATACAAACACCTTAAGGACATGGTGGGGGCAACAAGGAGAATTGACTAAAAAGATTCGATGAAATGGTAAACTTGGGAAGCAAGTCTCACAGTTTCATAAATTCATATTACCACTTTCAGCAATGCTAACTGTTACCAATTTCTTTCTGGAACCTTCATAGAAAAGTTCATTTCCATCAAATCTCACCCTACATTGAAAACATAATTTGATCAATAGTTAATTTTAAAGAGTGTAAACCTTATAAAATTGAGATTATTTAAAATATAAATACATGTAAAAGCAGTTATTGTTATAATCTAAATCAAAAGTAATAATAATAAATTTTGCATAGTAAAATGCATAAAAAAGTAATAACTTGCTGGGGGAAAAGCTGAATATGAAAAGGTATTTACGCATATACTGAAAAAACGTGGAAGGGAAAAGAATAATTGAGGTGATAACATGGATAGTTAGAGTTCACTGGCTGCTAGCACATGCATGACTCTTCTAATAAAAAACCTCCAAAATAAAAAGAAAAAGATGCATAGAAATTCACTACCAGTAGTCTTGAAAGAACATTGAAATGGTGGGACATGGGAGAAACTTGGGGACCAAGGTTTAAAGCCATTGATCCTTCTGATAGAGACTCATAACAGATTATATCCCTAACCAATGATAAAATATGTTAAATTTCATTTTGTCCATTTCGTAGAAAGTGCCGTGGGTTGTGAGAGAAAAGATTCTCATTCTTACGCGGTTTTAGTGCAATACAAGTCACTGAATTTCTTATTGTATCTGTTACTTCACACATTGAGAAACAAAAATTTCAAATATTTATGTATTTGGGTTTAAAATCACGATAACATTTCAAATATTTGTTGAATTTTCTTATAAAATAATCTACTAATAAGATCACTTAGATGCATTATTAGAGCTATTCAGTAATAGTTAACATAAATGCGTGATCTAACTTAAATTATATGTTAATTAATTTTATAGAGTTATATTAGGAACTTTTTATAAAGTTTGAAAGTATGCCTCAAACACGAATCTTGAAATATTATTTTCCGACAACAACTTCTTAACGAAGGAGTTAAGTCAGTGAACGTGGCATTATAAATTCAGTTTCATAAGACAACACAAACACAGTGAAGTGAAGTGTTGACAAAAACCAATGGAGATTGTAGGAATGGGTTTTCGTCCCACAGATGAAGAACTTGTCGACTTCTACCTCAAACACAAGTTGCTCGATGATGATCCCCTTGTCCATGTCTTGACTGACATAGATCTTTCCGATGTGGATCCTTGGGAAATACCAGGTAATAATCGAAAGCCAAACTCTCCATGCTTCTTCATGAAATCAACACTGTCCTTTTTCTTGCTCTGATCTTTGCTTCAACTTTTACTGTTTTAAATAGAGATGTTAGCAAAATCAGTAATACCATTCAAAGACTCAAAATGGTTTTTCTTCAGTCCTGTTAATTTGAAGTACTCAAATAGTAAAAGGTTTAAAAGGACAACAAAGAGTGGGTTCTGGAAACCAACGGGAAAACCCCGTGATGTTAGAAAAGGGGACACCAACACTGGCATTGGGACCAAGAAGACTCTTGTTTTCCAGAGTGGTCATGTTTCCAAAGGTGTCACTGTCAATTCCAACTGGGTTATTCACGAATATCATGCTCTTAACTTTCTCCATATCCAGGTTTGTATTTCATTTTTTTATAAACTTGTAACTCTGCTTGGAAATAATCTCTGTCCTAAACTACAGTGTGTAGGAGTGTAAACTAGTCGAACCCAGATGAGTATTTGAAGCCTGGGTTTGACTAGTAAAACAGTTTGTAAATTTTAAAATATCTCATGTGACTTATGTGCTTTAATCTTGACTGTTGGTAATAATTAGTTTCTCGACAAAGCTTACGGAGTGACTTGCTGGATGTTTTTAATTGAGTCTTTCTATCTAAGAACACCCAAAATTCGTCACTAATTTTCATCATNCTATGACTCTACAACAAATAAACCCTTTGAAGATCAATAACATTGAAATATCTAATTTTCGTTGCCCATAAAAGGTCGTGGAAAGATTAAAATAAGACAAGATCAAACAACTTCATATGATATTGGACATGGCTGACACATGTCTTCAATTTTCTAACAAGAAGCAAATCAAGAGGATCAAGAAAGTATATGTCAAGATGATTTCTGGGGAATGGAGACATCATGTTATTACTCTACAACAAATAAACCTTTGGGAGATCAATAGTATTGAAATATCTAATTTTCCTTGCCTTTAAAGGTCATGGAAAGATCAAAATCAGACAAGACCAAACAACTTCATATGATGAGAACTAAGAACATAGTTCCATTAATGGATTAGTGGTACTTAATTATAGGAGTATATGTTATTAAAAGTAACTTGCTCTGTAATAGCCACTTTATAACAAATTGTAAAATGACAATAATGCAATAAAATTTAGAAGAATATATAATAGCAAATCTATTAGAAAGTATAAGAAACTGCATGATGGAGTCGTGTATATTTAAGATAGCAGATTGTGTAACTAGGAAGTGTGTGGTTATTTGTAGTTTGTGGACAGAGTACATTTTGTAGTGAACTTTTGTCTCTAGGATACCAAGTGTGTTGTTCAATCAATATATTATCTGTGCTTTTAGCGTTTAATAATATATTTTATTAATTTTTGGAATACATGAACAATGCAGATATCTTCCGATATCAGTTGAACGGAGGATTGGCTAGACAACTACTTCATTTTTATATTGCTCCCTTGATCTTTGTTTTTTGAAGCAAGGATGGTTAATTTTGGATCATAAAATGTTAACTAGGTGCCTGATTTTGCTCCACAGAAATATTCAAATTCAGAATGCAGATATCCATAAAAGATTCCCTTTCTTAAGGACCCCATTTTTGTATCTGGAATCTTAAGTTTGAGCATATTGACTATGACCAATATCAATGAGCCCTGGTTGTTTAAAAAGGCCAAGCCTCGCGAGTCAGCCTGTCAACCTGACTAAGAGTGTTACTCCCTCCATCACCACACATTCTTCCCTACATCTCCTCAATTCTCTTTTGCCCCTATAAAATATTTAATTCGTGGTGGTTAAAATGTATTTATTTTCATCAACATCCACCCACTGTATCAATGCACCCCACACCCAAGCATTCCCACAGAAATCAGATTTCTCTTGTTTCTTCTCCCCTCTAATTGTGCTATTGTGGTGGTTGAAGTGGTCCAGTGAGTGATGGTGTCAAACAGCAGGTTCTCAGGTGTGAATACAGATCCACCCTTAAATGGACATGGGGTATCGTAGAACACTTAAACAGATCTCAAAATCCATCGACGGATATCGACATCCGTTGAAGGGTAAACGGATGTCAATATCTGTGAACGAATTTCGAGATCCGTTTAAGTGTTTTACGGATACCCCATATTTGTTGTCGCCTTTCGCGTTTCTTTTCTTGTTCATTTAAGACAAAACAAAGGCATATAGCAACACCTAGCACAACACCCAGTACACAAAAAACACATGTTCACAGAGAACCTTGACAAAAATGGGAAATTGAAGAAAGAAGAAGAGGAGAATAAGAGAGAAAGAGAGAAAGTAAGAGTGTGGGGGTGGTGTGCGGTTGAGTGAATAAGAGAGTAAAAAATTAGGGTTTTAAGAAAAAATTGAAAAAGGTAAAGGGTGTGGTGGAGAGAGTAACTCTCCTAGACTAAAAGATACATGTCAACCCGCCAACTCGACCAAAACAACTGAGTAAGGACAACATTTTCAATTCGAAACCCAAACTAATCCGGTCCGTCAAACTGGATAGCCTGACAAGCCAACCCATAAGTCAAATCAGATCAGTCCGACAATCGAGTAATTCAATTTTATTAAAAAAAGGTTTAATGTCTCAATAGGTCCCTATTTTTGTTCAGAATTTGAAATAGGTCCCTTTATTTTTTGGCGTCTCAATTGGGTCCTTATTTTTGTTAATTTGATGCAAATAAATCCTTTCCGTCAAGGGTGTTGCTCCCTCCACCACCACACCTTTCTCCTTCCACCTCCCCAATTTATTTTAATTCCAATTATATTCTAAGATTAAAATTTTTTACTTTTACTATTTTAATTTATTTCAAACCTAGTTCTCCTACTTTATTCCTGCACCCAATCTTTCCATCTCTCATTTTTGTTTAATAATTTGTCTTTCGTTTTACTCTGCAACCCAATCTGTCTTCTCCGTTTCTTTCTTCTTCATTTTCCTTACATTATTAAAATACATTAAAAATATATTCAAAAATAATAAATCAAAACATTTAAATTAAATTATTAAAATATTTCCAAAATAAAGAATAAACTAATAAAAGAAACCCTAAAATAAAAAACGTATCTTTTAAATGGAGGCGACATCCTTCAACGGATGTCAACATCCGTTTAAGGAAAAACGGATGTCAACATCCGTTTAAGGAAAAACGGATGTCGACATCCGTTTTACCTTAAACGGATGTTGACATCCGTTGAAGCATTTTGACATCTGTTGAAGGATTTTGACATCCGTTGAAGGATTTTGACATCCGTTGAAGGATGTCTTAAAGGTTAGGTTTTTTATATTAGGGTTTTATTTGAAGGTTTATTTGAATACGCACCTTGAGCAAGCAACACACTGCACCACTCCACACACTGTACTACGAGAACGACACTACACCACGAGATGGGGACTGCTTGATAATTCTTTCCACCACCACCAACCATTGCAACTTGTAAAAGAAAGAGAGGAAGAAATATAATGTTAAAATGAAAGAAAAATATTTTACTCATAGTGGAATAGGTTGTGAATGGGTAAAATTAAAAATAACCCTAAAAATAAAATTTTACTTAGGGACAAAATAGTAAATGGGAGGTGGAGGGAGAAAGGTGTGGTAGTGGAGGGAGCAACACCCTTCCGTCAATTTCATCAAACGGCGTTAATGAATGTGTGACGTGGCCTGAGGACAGTATTGACACGTGTAAGGCCACGTCACACATTCATTAACGCCGTTTGATGAAATTGACGGAAAGGATTTATTTGCATCAAATTAACAAAAA